TTCCTTTTATTTCTTTCTCTTACTTGATTTCTTGCCTAATATTTTAAGTGCACATTGGACAGGACTAGTGATAGTGGACATCTTTGTCTTGTTTCAGATTTTAGGTGGAAAGATTTCAGTTTTTCCTATTTAATATGGTGTTATCTGTGAGTTTCTCATAAATAGCTTTTGTCAGATTAAGATAAAGTCCTATCTTCTTCAGGTTCTTTTTTCAATCATAAATGGATGTTGGCTCTTGTCAAAGGATTTTATACATCTATTGAGAATATTATGGTGGTTTAACTAATGATGGACGTATAACACCCCACTGGACTGAATCAGCATGATTCTGGGTGTGGAAGGCCCACCTGAGGAGTGTTGCCAACAGCATGTAAGGAAAATTGGACAGGAAGATGGTGTGATGTTGATTCTCCAGGAGAAGCTTGTCACACTAGTTTTCCTGAAATGAAAGCTAGTGTCAGCTGTTGTCATCATTGGAGGACCTTGGATCCTTGCTGTCACTGAGGATGACTTTCATTCTCTTTGAGGGAGTTCTGGTCCTTTACTTGAGCACCACTTCCTAGTTCCAGTGCAGATCATTCAGCTTGGTGACACATATTCTTCACCCCACTGGCACAGACATTCTAGCTTTCACCACTGAACTTGGGGCCTTCCCAGTGCAGAACCTTGATACAGATCTTCATGAGACATGGGTCCAGTACTAGGCCATCAGATGGCTTTGTGGAGGACACTGCCATGTTTTGTAGGTCTTCAGCTGGACTCATACAGGTTACTGCCATGGGATTCAAGATCTAAGCTGGATTCTTTGGGTCTCCAGTGCAGGGACGGGACTACATTCTTCTGTATTTGACTCTTTGGGTGAACATTACAAATAATCCAGTACATTATGGCTCCCCTATTAAATTTATTCCCTTGCAAACCCTAACTACAACAAATATCCTGTGACTTTGGGCCTTGGTTGTGTTATGATGTTTTACAATGATTGATTTGCATATATTGAACCACTCTTCAATCCATGGGTTGAATGCTACTTGGTCATGACGTGTAAACACTGAAATAATTTAGTACATTCCATTACCTTGCTGAGGATATTTGCCTCTATGTTCATTAATGAAATTGGCCTGTGATTTTGTTTTAGCTGGTCCTTGTTTTGGAATCAATTAATGCTAGTATCCAGGAATGAACTCCGCAGTACTCTTTCCTTTACATTTTCATTAAAGGTTTTCACCAATACTTATGTTAAGTCCTTCCTGAAGTTCTTATGGTATTCATGAGTGTACACATTGAGTCCTGGAGGTTTTTTATTTGGTAATTTTTAAAAATTATGGACCCAATTTTATTTCTCATTCTAGGACTCTTCCAAGTTTACGCCATATCTATTTCAAAGTCATTTTTTTCATTTTCGATAACATTGAAATGGATCATCCTTTTCTCTCTTTTCAAAATTTTGGTTAAGGATTCATTTATTTCATTTACCTTTTGCCAGAACAAGCTCTTTATCTCTTTGATTCTTAGCACTAGTTTTTTAAGAGTAGGAAAATTAATTGGAGAAGAGGAATAGGATTGAAGTGTCCTTTCTAATCCAAGCTCACTGGTGCTTAATCTTCTTAAGGGGTCTATGTCTAGCTTGCACTCTCCTTGCAACTGTCTCTTGTGATTTCCCCTAACTAGTCACTATAGTAAGGTTGTTCTGGCAAAACTGAGTCTGGGAAAGAAATGACACCAACGAAGTCAGGTGGCAGCAAACAGCTTGATTTTATACCTGTGGTCCTGGCGGGAATAACTTCCAACAAAAAAGTCAAGCGGCGAGTGTCTGTGAGCCAGAAACTTTATAGGAGGCATAATCAGGTGTTACAAAGGCAGGACAGGACAGCATGGCAGTTCTTCTGATTAGCTAGCACAGTGAGATCATTGGTTACAGAGCTAGACTAATGACCATGAGTTACAGGACTAAATTAATAACCATAAAACTGGATAAAATCAAGTATTCTGTATGTCCAGTTACACTCTTGTTCCTACAGGAGTCAAGGAAGCAATTACAGAGCCATTAAACAGTTGCAGTTAAAAAAGAACAAAGTGCTAAAAAAATCATTTTTCCTAGTACAGTTTTCCCTTTCACGGTGACCTCATAAACCTTGGATTCTGATGCCCAGGGTAGCTCAGCCAGAAACAATTAACCCCTTCCCCAAATGGCTCCTATTTAATGTCTATGAATTCTGGCAGGTGCTGCAATGCATTTCTTTTCCAACTTGACCCTGTCATGTGGAATGAGTCACTTTGGAATTCCTGGAGGAGAGTAGACCTCTGGACTGGGTTATTTTGTGTCATTGGTGGAAGGTTCACAAATAGCAGCAGGAAACAGTTTGCTGTGCAGATCTTTGATGCAGGAGAGTTTTGGCCAAAAGAGATTTGCCCATGGTGACCACAGCATTTCGAACCTGTCAGACATCATTCCTAACAGAGCTACCTCCATCTGTAAACAGGGTGTACTCAGCATCTGTCAGGATGCAGCCACTGTTTCAGATCAGCTCATCCCAGTACCACATGTGGCACCTGGAAAGTTAGGTCTCAGTCCAAGGTGAACTCATCAGCTTTCTGGTTGAGAAGGACAGTGGCTGTCAGAGCACAGAGGCAAATAATGAGGCAGTCCTTAGAAACCAGTGAGTGCTCCCAGGGACTGACAGTGTGAGTAAGCATGTAGGATTCAGCAGCTCCAAGAAATTTTCTGAGTTTTTCTTTTTAGCCATTTTCTGCAGAAATTGCAACAGAGCTTTCACGACTTTTGAGCAGGAAGCTTGGAAGTGTCATTA